TGATGTTATACTCATCGAGAGCTTTCATTTGAATACCCGCATGCATTTTTGATATATTTTTCATATATACATATATATAATATATATAAATATATAAAAAATTGATATGGCTACTCAAATGAAAGGTCTCGATGAGTGTAACATTAATATAAGCTTATATCTTTAAAAATGTCAATAGTTCACAAGATACAAGGTCATTTCTTAATTATGTATCTAGAGATAGAGCATTTTCGAATGCAACCTAAATGTCGATCATCATAAATTGACTATCGACGAGAATGGTATGAAACCTTGAAAAGGCACAAATTCAAGTCATGTCCTTTGCAATGACACTTAATTTCACTAAAAATATCGATTTCATTATGTGACTATCCAGAAGACAAAATTGTTCTTATTCGTTTAATAATATAAATTTTTATTATTATTATTCAATTATTATAGTTGTTTTAACCATTATTGCCTGCCACATGAATCTTCCACAGGAATGTATCTTGTAGCAGCCCCAATTTTTTTTTTCCGCGTAAGATTAAAACTATATATTGTAGGAACCATTCCTATACTATTATGGGAATGGTTCCCATAAATTATGGAAACCATTCCTATAATAGTATAGGAATGATTCCTATAGCATTATGGGAACCATTCCTATAATATTATAGGAATAGTTCCCATAATATTATGGGATTAGTTCCCATAACGATATAGGAATAGTTCCCATAATTTTCTTTCCGTGTAGTTGATTTGAAAGAAATATACTCCTAAAAAATGGGATAGCCAGTCAGAAAATACGACGAAATTTTTGTCAAAATTAGAGGTTTTTTGAGTGCGCAAATAATGCATTAACGATTTTTGAGTAGTTGAAAAAAAATTGAAGCTTTGTCATGTCAGAATTAAAAAATCCGACTGATTTTCTCATCAAAATTCAACTATTTCTCTTCAAGGAGACGCAGAAATTGCTTCAATTAATCTTGCATAAATTTGTCAGAGATGAAAATTATTCTAATTAAAAAATTTTTGTCATTCCATTGCTCCGGTTTTGAACAAAAAGCGCCCATAATTTTATTCAACTCATGTGCACTATTGACGTTTTATTAATTACCTAAAAAGTTGAGTCTTAATAGTTGTTTAGCAATAATATGGAAATTTTTTTTCAATCATAAATTTCGAAACAACACCAACCAGCACGATAGAATCTTCTGGTTTAAAGTTAGGTGTTTATGAATAAACTCAGTGCTAGATCAAAATAACTCTGACGGTTTTTTTCTGGTGTAGTTTCGAACATTATAATCTCAAAGCTTATTTTATTTTTGAAAGTTGCCTTATTTTTCGGGCAGAAAAAACTGCATTAAATATCATTAAGCGAATCAAAATTGAATAATTTTCTGCGGAGATATCGGTAAATAATGTTCAAATTTCCAATATGGCTGTCAATAACAAAAGAAATTTTATTTCAATTCTTAAATTTATGTTACAGAATTAAGGTGACAAAATTTAATCACATATAGTAATTGGAACACACGATTTTGTTAATTTGGGGGAAACGTCTGTAATTTTTCAGGATCATTCGAACTTCCACCTCTATAAAATTGTATAAGTATAACAAGATAGGTAACGATAGTACCCAAAACCTGTTAAATGTAAATATAACTTATTGTAAGTACGAAAATGGTCAATAACCATGAGAATTTTTGCGCTTACTGATTGGAGAAGAGAGCCATCTAGAGATATAATTCCGCAAGCAGTAAATTCGACTTTTCGATGGAGAAGATCAAATGAAAATTCAATTAACTGAAACATAAATTGATCATTGCTATAAACTACGGATATGCTTTGATATAATTTAAAGTGAAGAATAAGGATTGATAACCTGATTTTCTAATTTATCATCCATTGTACAGCGATCCAAAATTAAGTGTACCATAAAACTTGTTTTTTTACTCTAAAAAAAAAAAAATTTTCAACTTAGTAGATTGGTAATGATTAAAATAATTATGACAATGGTTATAAGAATTTTAGTAATGAAAAATAATGAAGAACATTCACTCGGTTAATATAGATCAATAGGAGATACTAGGCTGAAGCAGGTATGCGCTGGTGTGTTGTCTAATAAAACGAGAGTATCAGTATAGATGTATGCCAAGTTGCCAAGATTATCTGAATTTTAGTAAGTTTTGAAGTTAAAGGCATTCTATAAGCAATTATGATATAGAGCATTATATTTCGATTAGTGTAATGCATTAACATGTATTTAATTGATGACTTGTTTGTCAGTAGACCTGTTGATGTATTAACTTTAGTGGCAATCGATATCACAGTGTGAAAATTCGAGCAATTTTAACAGAGTTCCCCTAGTAGAAATAATCGAGTTTTCAATCGATATAAACCAGTATCTGGCCAGTGATATCGAGTAAAAACTCGAAATCGCACCACCTACAACTAAATCATAAACATTGGTCACACTGATACTGTACCTTTACGAGTGTGTATGTCTGTTTATTTTTCTCTATTAACTTGTACGCAAAAAAAGTTGACACAATAAATGAATTGCGAATGTGGGCAATAAAAACAAATATTGCAGATTGTTATTTAGACGAGTTGTTAAAAATTTTGCAAGCTGAAGTTCATTCAGAGTTACTAATAACTGCAAAAACATTTTTAAATAAATGTAGTGTATCTTTTAAAATTGGAAAAATGCCAAATGCTGATGAAGTTATAATGAGTGAATTTGTTTACTTCGGTATTGAAGATCATCGGACAGCAATTATTAATCCAAGTGTTTATAAACAAAACTTAATATTTTTACAATTTAATATCGATGGAATAAATTTATTTAAATCGAAAAACTAAATTATTATTTTTTTAATTATTTCCAATTGAAAATAATTATTTTATCATTTCATTGTTAGATTTATTATTATTATTAATCTATTAGTCTAATAATGTTATCTATTATATAATATAAATATGAATGAAATTTTTAAATCATTTCATTTATTAAACATTCATTTTTATTTTATCTGACAATTTTAATAACACCTGATAACCTCAAAATTTTAAATCGACAGTTTCACTAAGGCCGCCATGTTTTGTTAGATATTTAGTCAAGATGGCCAGTTACTGGCTAAAAACTCGATTTCATTTCTACTAGGGTCAGGAGTTCAATTTTTATCAAATTTCGATTGTCATTTTTCCGGAAATGATTCACAGTTGAAAGTAAAACTCGGCATTTAAACACGCAAACTATTTGTACCATGACATTGTTGTTATTTTAGTACAGTATTATTGATTACATACGATATTTAGTTAATAATAGTTCGTATTATCGACTGAACTTGCATTGTTAAGAGTGACTTTAGCGAACTTAGTGTTGAGCGCATTTAAATTGAAAAAAAAAAAACGAAGTTATAATCGTAAATCAAAGTGTGAATTACATTTCCGAAAATTGAAGGTTTTTGTCAAAGAAAGACGAAAATATTCTCATTGCAAAGATGCATTATTTATATTATGTTGTATTTTCTTTATTTATCATCATTTATTACAATTAGGGGAGACCGGGGCATAGTGGCCCACTTAAGCGCGTTATTATTTCTAGCTACTATTGATCATCTAAAAAATTTTCTCATGTTTTATCTTGCGGGAATATATGATAATTTGGTCAAAATCCACAAAAAAAAAAAATTTTTTTCCTGAGGCACAACGGCCCACTTCTGGAGAATAATTAAAAAAAAAAATATTACCAAAAATTTTTTTTCTTTTTAATATTATTCATTTATTCTAATTTCATAAAAAAAAAGTTTTTAAATGATAGTTATTATTTTTTAACTTCCACTAACCCCTTTTCACTTTCTTTGTTTAAATATTTTTGACTCAAAAGATTTTGCTCCTACTGACACTACCAATAGCAATAAACCACCTGAAGAACAATCACTAGAAAATCTGACCCAAAGTCTGAGTGATTTGTGCAAGACAGATTTTATTGAAGGACCTGAACCCGAGCAACAACCTGAACAGCAGCAACTTGTACAACAAGAGCTTGGACAGCAACAGCAACAAAAACCTGAACTGCATCAACAACCTGGAGAGCCACTAATTATTCCAATTGCCTCCACCTCCACTGCTACACCATCGTTGAGACCCCTATCTAGGTAATTTAGATCACGAATTATTGATGAAAGCTCCGATGAAGAGTTGGAAAAATCCCTTATTAAAAATATCAGTCGAACTGCTGCATCATCCAAAGCAAAAGTAAGACAAGACACATCGAAGTTTCATCTAACACCTTACGACATCAAGCCATTGGTTCCATGTAAAAATATCCACGGGCAATTACATCCACGGACATTATATCCCCGGACACTATATCCAGCGATGCTGTGTCAGCGTCATAATGTCCGCGGAAAATTTGGGGATTGGGTGAATAAAGGATATGGGGGAAGGGAGGACCTTTTTTTACTCAGTTTCTGTGTCAAAGGAATCATGGATTCAGTGCAATAACTGCAAAATGTGGTCTCACAATTCCTGTGCAGGTATTGAGCAAGATTATTCAGATGAATATACCTGTGATTACAGTCAAAAAATGGTTCATTTTGTTCCGGATTTCGCTATTCAACTAAAAAAATTAAATTTATTTTTTGACAAAATTTTTGGAGTGGGCCACTGTGCCCCGGGTGGGCTGCCGTGCCCCGGCCTCCCCTATTTCAATCACCAATTTTGATCATTAGAACATAGTCTTCATGCAATAATTATTCACTGTCATCATGCTGATCAACATTCACGTCATCATTCAGCATCATCATTATCATGCTAATCACCATTTGAATCATTATTGATGATCATCATGCCAATTATCATATCATGAAATAAATACATTACCTCTTTAATAACTCTATTCACACTGAAAGTCATTACAATAAAACCAAAGATCATAATTGAAAACACCGCTGCATCTCCTAAATAGAGAAACACCTGAAACCGAGTCAACGGATTCGAAAAAAATATAAAAATATAATACAAAAGTAATATACTCGCTGCACTAAAGTATAATATCGTCAGCAAAACAGGCAGTCCATAAAACTTCGAAACTTTTCCACACATATCACACAACTCGGCATGAAATCTGTTAAGATGATCAATATCACCTCTAATAGGTCTCCGTAATGGCATTTTTGAAACAAAGAGCTTTTGTAATTCAATGTTGGGGTTCACGCCAGATAATTGCAAGATAATTAAATTAATATTATTAAACTGTTTATAAAATGCGTCCAAGATCATTGAATATTGTATCAGGATCAAACTGCTTATTAACGACGGTATAGATCTTATTGGTACTACTATCATCGGGTGAGCGCACATTAAAGAAATAACATAACAGTTATACAGCACGAAATTGGTCAAAAATATCAAGAAAACAGCATTGTTTTTTATAGACAAATATGCAGAGTATCTGTGAAGTGTCTTGTCTATATGCATTAATTTGTTGATTACAGTGATTATTATTCTTTGATGCACTAGATAGAAAATCCACATGAAAATCGGTGATACCATGCTAAAAATTATGAGGTTCATCGCGACTGTTTTAGTGATTAATGACTCAAATTTTTTTTTTTCATAGACCACAATTAGCGATGAATAAACATTGTAAATGATCCAAATTATGATTAACAAAATATTATAAGCCGCACCGTAAAGAGACGAATCAAGAATTAAATAATTTTGAAGAGTAATTGGAATATTTTTTCCAATGATTTTTGAGACGTTCATCGACCATGGTGCTAAACCAAACAGTTTGAAGAGAATTAATTGGAAAATTAAAGATTCACGATAAATTGTGCTTGATGAATTGTTACGTTTTTTAGTCTTGTAGCTATGGAATGAGTTTGGTTGCATTTTATACTGGACTATGGTAGTGTGAGATGATATATAAGTAACAATAAATTGTGGTTTGATGAAGAGTCATTACGGAAATAGAACGTACATTAATCCGGAAAATGTGATGTTTTATTAAGTTTATCAGTTGACATACGTTTCATCAATTTAGTAACCTTCGTGTTAATCGATAATGAATTATAAAGAGTGCTAGTCGCGCTGTTACAGAGCTTTTTATTGTATTAAGCTTTTATTTCCATTAGAAAGGAAACTAATTTCATTCATAATGAATGATTAAATATAAGTTTGATGAATTAATAATACAAATATCTGAAATTGTATAAAAATAATGCAATATTTCAATGAAATTAGTAAAATAAATAATTTTTCATGACCAACAATAAAATATAATTTGAAAATGGAAAGGTTTAGTAAGAAAATTTTTTCTTAGAAATTTAAAAATAAAAAATAGGTAAATAAACGAATTTCGGAAATTTTAAACGTTTATTGAAAAAATTGTAAATAATCAAAGAAATACGTTTCTTTAAAGTTTTAATCGAGAAAATCAAAAAAAATAAATTTTTATTATATTTCTACTGATTTTTTAAATATGTGAAAATAGAATAAAAAAGTTTAGAAAATCCAAAAGTGCACGCCTCATAGCGCTCATTCATTTTTTAAGAAAAAAATTAATTGTGTAATTAATTAAAAAAAAAAAAAAAAAAAAATTATAATTAAGTAACTTCTTACAGAGTATTTTTTATTTTTTTTTAAATATCGGCGCCCTTTCTTCTTGTCATGCGCGCACGCAGTCTAAAAAAAAATCTAGCTTGATCAAGTGGCGCCATAGTTTTCACGTGACAAATAAGGAAAGTTCGTTTAGCTTTGTACGGTTGTATCGTAGTAAATTTTAATAAAAATTAAATTTAAAAAAAAAATACGTATGCTAGGCCACTGATATGCAATACGGACCCAGTTCATCGAATTCTTAAACTAATAAAAAAGATCCAGTCTTGAAATATCAATTTGTTCGGGAGTAATCGTTGGTACATCCAAAATGGGGTGACATCCGGACGTCTACGTAAAATTTTTTTCAAAACGTTTTTTTTTTTTCAAAATAGCAACATGAAATGATTTTAGAAAGTAACAGATGATTTAATTTAAGTGTTTTTTCGGTGTACATCTACTTATATCATTGTATAAGTGTAATATGGTTGTGATAGAGGCATTTAAAGATCACAAAATTGCTTGATCTTAACGAGTCGAGTATAAAGCACAACCTCACGCGCTTCGCACTATGAGGCGTGCAAAAGAAATTACTCATGATAATAAATATATGGGTCATTCTCAGTTAAGACGTAAATTCGACATCCACGGTGAAAAATCATCTTTTTTAAAAAAATTTATTAAAAAAAATGTAATTATCTCTTAAAACTCGTGCTCATGTAAGTGGTCACTCAAATTCATTTCTTGATTTTATTTAATTTAGTCACAATTTCATCTCAAAGTCCGAAAACATCTCTCCCCTGGCTTGTCCCCGGGCTGATTCTGTTTATGTATTAGTCATTTAAAGTGCTTAGAAATCAAATAAATTATTTAAATTATATATATATCAATAAAATAAATTACATAAATTCTCGTCAAGCGAGTAAAATTGCATGATATTTTTTTTTTCTTAAAAAAAAATTACGTTTAAGTTTGTCCCTCACATTTTGCGTCTCGTCCCCTGGCATGGTTATTTTCCTGTAAAAGCGGCATTTGTCTACCTTGTCGCGGGAATTGAAGACTTGAAACAAACGCCGTTGAGTTTATACTTTGTAGTCAGTGCCAGCCGAACTAGGTGCGCAGTCATTTTGTTATTTATTTCATTACTGACACTCTGTGGATACAGTTGAGAACCAATGAATGGAGTCTCTCCCCTGTTAAGTTTTATTTTAAAAATTTTTTTCTGCCCTCCGGCTGGAAAGTGGCAACTTTCTGGCCGCTGCACTAAACAAAGTTGCCACATTCCGGCTACATCGAGCAGAAAAATAGTATACACACCTTGGCCAGTAAAAAGTAAAGCCTCAGATCACATGTTTGTCAACCTCGGCTTCGCCTCGGCCAACAATTATATGTGATCTGAGACTTTTCTTATTTTACTGGCCTAGGTATGTAATATACTATATCTAAAAATTTTAATTTATCTGTATACCCGGGAAAAAATGATCAGACCTGATTAGTTATGAACAGGCATGAGTCTTCAGGCCTGATCAGACATGAAAAATGAACATGCCTGATCAGGCATGAATTAACCTGATCAGGCCTGATCAGACATGGTCAGGTCTGAAAGCCCATTGTTACTTTTAATTATAGCGCCATCTGTGTAATCGGAATCTGGGTAAAAGAGGCCGTCCCGAAAGTTGCTACTTTCCGGCCGGAGGGCAGAAAATTATTTTGCTTAATTTTATGGATATAGTATTTGATAGAGTCATACGCAATTCTCTATAATGAATTAAAATAAAAAAAAATTATTACATATAATTGTACGGCTGTAACATCAGCAGTCACCCATCCAACTACTAACCACGCTCAATGCTGTTTAACTTTGGTGATATCCGTGCGCCTTGAAGTTCCCGCCTGATGTGTTGCTTGCTATCTTATGTGACAACAATTCTATGAAGTACATAATGTATCGAATAAATTTATCATAAATATAATATAAAAATTGATTTTATAATATATTTTGATAGTCCTAATTTATTTATTTAACCGAATTTCATTATAACATCACATTTATTTAAATAATAAAATAAGTAATGATTTTAATACTAGGCAGAAGCAGAGCAGACTGAAACATCCAATAGGAAATGTAACAAATTTTTTATTTCAAAATTATTTAAACGTAATGATAAAAATAATTTTGCACTTTTTGTGATGGCCAAAAAAATTTTTTTCACCAAAGAAAAAATTTTTATCACATCTCTGACTATGCAAGTCTGATCAGATCTACCTGGAAAAAAATGATCAGACCTGACCATGCCTGTTCATGTACGATCAAGCCTGAAATTAGACATGGTTATGCCTGTCCATGCCTGTTCATGTCTGACGGGTTAAATACGCTCAGGCCTGATCATACCTGTTCATGCCAGTCCATATCTGTTCATATCTCAAGCGTTAAATACGCTCCGGCCCAATCATACCTGTCCATACCTATTCATGCTAAGGACCAAATATGCTAAGTAAAAATTTTTGAATATGTTCAGTGTATGTAAATTAATTTTGATTAATAAATTTGTAAATTATCAATAAACGGTATATTTTATTATTCAATAAATAAAAGTATTTTGATTATCATTAAAAACCTACCGTAGGGTAAATTTAATTAACTTTTCTAGGCATGAACAGGCCTGAGCATATTTAATGCTTCAAACATGAACAGGCATGGACAGGCCTGATCAGACCTGAGTGTATTTAACCCGTCAGACATGAACAGGCATGAACAGGTCTGATCAGACATGAACAGGCCTGTTCAGGCCTGAGCGTATTTGACGCTTCAGACGTCAACAGGCATGGACAGGCATGATCATGTCTAATTTCAGGCCTGATCATACATATACAGGCATGATCAGGTCTAATTTCAGGCCTGATCATACATGAACAGGCATGGTCAGGTCTGATCATTTTTTCCTGGGTATTTACTTCTTGTTGTGTACAGATTCTAAGTTTTCTTAATAAATCGCGTACGATAAATACATTTGTAATTACTTCTGTTTTTGTTACTAAAAAGTATCTCCCCTGTTTATCTCCCCTTGCAGACACGTTTAGAGTTATTATTTTGTTCGAAACATTATAAAATTTAATTAAATTTTCAAATTTTTTATCGTGCCGCGTTTTATCGATAAGCGATTTACGTCTTAATTAACTGAGAATGACCCATATATAGAGGATAAGCAATTGTTACCTTTATATTTTTTTTCATTATAATAAATAATCATGGTGTCTTCAAAATAAATTTGTCATCAAATTTGGTTAACTAATTTTTTTTGAAAAATTACCATAAATTGTTTGAAAACATTTTTTAATTATGTATAAAAGTTATTTTCTCATATTACTTGATGTAACTAACCCCATTTCTTAAAGATGTAGTTATCGTCGCACGTACGGAATTTTGAAAATTTTAATTTTTTTAAAAATTGGCGACTGATTGAAAATTTTCACTTTATTCTTACTGTTTTTTTTTGTTTTAACCCGGCTAGAAAAATCTTTAAAATAAAAATTTTTCAAATTCCGTACGTGCGACGATAACTACATCCTTACTGATTAAAAAGCAATTTGGGTTTTTATTTTTAGATGATCTGTTTTTGAGTTATCGAACCGACGGTAGAGGGGGGAAATTTTCTCTCGTGCTCGACGAGATTGTCAATAACTTTGTATTAATTAAATATTTTTTAATAAAAATTTAGGGTAATAATCTTAATGTGTACCCTTAATGAAATAAAGAAAACCCGATTCTCAAATTCCTTCATTTCCCTCGTCAAAAAAATTCCCGAAAACCATCTCTTTTTTTCGATCGTCACAGTGGTGATCCCCATTAAATATTTGCATTGACCCTTTTTAAGGTCGCGTGATTTTACCAATTCATTATATCTAGTTTACCACAATGTAAATAAATTTTTTTTTGTAATATTTAATTTCAGAGTGGTAACAAGTTAAGGTCCGCATTATGTCCCATGATCACGGTAAATTTAACCGCAATTTTTTTCCGTGCAACAATAGAGGAACATGCATTTTTTATAAAATATTATTTAGAGTGGCTTATTAATATAACGTTAATTGGAAAACGAAGAAGCAAAACTCACATTTTTTTTAGTTCATAATTATATTTGACTGATACATAATTTCTTACCTGAACTCTGGGATTCGGTGAACCATTGCATGGGAGAAACCATAAATAAAAAGTTCATTAGGATTTCAGTCTTTCCGTAACTACAACAATTAGTAAAACTTCGGTAATTTTTCTGAAATATTCCGAATTTAAT